ACGTGGTAACTAAGATATACGATGATCCCCCCAAAAATAAATAAATAAAAGGATGAAAAGGAACATAATGGTGGCTGTTAGTATGTTAGTGCACTCATGACGATACAACAGAGCTATAAGGAGGGAGGCTTACAAACATTTGCTGACTGAACATAACAGCAACAATTCCTTATACTGTATCTTTCACATCCCTTTATACTAGTTTTCATTCACTCTGTCAGTTTAAACTAGTGCCAGAAATTTATATACAAGTAAGTTTCAAAGCATAACTTTACTAATAAATATTTCTACATTGATCTTTCTTCTTTTCAGCAAATAACCGAGTGGCAATTACTGCAATCGATCTGTTGGTGGTCGTAAGTGGGTCCACAGCCAGTAGGCAAGATGTGCTCGCATATTCCTACAATTGAAAAAAGAAAAAGATGAAATGGTCGTATGCTGTATGGCTTACATAAGTGCAGCAACTGAGAAGGACAGTAACACCAATTCAAGAGATTCAATTAAGTGTTAAATTGTGACATTTGACGTTCTCACAACACTGATTATCAATAGTACCACCTCCTGTGATCTAACACTGTGAAGTCTGGTAGTAGTTTACCCACAGTTCGCTAAATTGGTAAATTTTGTTGGGGAGATAATTTAGAGTTTAAAATGTAATTATATTATTGTTTGATTTGTCACCGTAAGCTGGTGTTAGCTCATTGCCCTACATGATGCTTTCTGGTCCTCCAGACTGTAGCCACTTCACACTATTATCCATGATGTGACATATCCCTACCACTTCCCTGGCTCCAATACTTCACATGTCATGTGTTCCTTTCTATCCAATTGCGCATTCTTCCTCTTCTCCATCCAATTATTCACCAGCTTTCTTGTGGCTCGTTCCCATCTTGAAGTTTTTCTTTCACTCTGGTTGACGATAAGTTAACATGTTTCTAAATTCCTTCTTTGATTAGTATGCTGGGTTTATAAATTCTCTCTCCATTACATAACTGATGTCTGGCAAGAGTCTTTGCTTCTCTGTGCATGTTTCTTTTGTATGGGTGAGTGACTGGTACTGTATAAGAGTTAGGTAAAGTATTTTGTTATTTCATTATGTTTCATTTTAGTTCGGTGTGCGTTGTTGTGACATGTCTGTTAAGCCAAATATAAGTCTGTATGACTTTCACTCATTCAATGTTGAGGCCAAAGTATGTGCTACCATGTTATATCAGGCAGTGGCCTGTTTCAACTTGGTTCTTGTAAGCAGTGGTACATTTTTCTTTCCTATAAGCAGCTGCTGCTCACCATTTTGCTCAATACCTTACTTACATAAGCCAGCAGTAATTCTGTTTTAGCCCATGTTGGCTTACATGCACAACAGCTGTTTATTTCTTTTTCTTCTATTTGTTCATGACTGTTTGCTCCTCTTAGCCTACTTTCCTTGTTTTGAAAAAACAAGAGGAGGCTTATGAGATCACCTTGGTGTTTTTGTCAATCTGTGTATCTGCATAATAGCCTTTTCCAATTTGAATTTTACATTATGCTTACCATAAATGTCTTATTGTGTAGTAGGACCCTGCACACAGTTATATTTATTCCACCATAAGAACTGCTTCCAACTTGCATGCTTCACAGCAATTTCAAATGGAAACTCTGACATGACCCCAACTGCCTAGATTGGCTCCTAATGTGTGTCAAAGGTATGAGGATATGACTGATCAGGTCATTATGATCTTGTACTTCTGTAGTATAAATACAAAGTTCTTTTTTTAATGCTAGTGGGGTGGGACTAAGTCCCTTGTACTGCTGCCACTTCTGGTCTATTGTACCAGCCCCAGATGATAGGTGAGGGTGATTGTAGAGCAATTGGTGGAATGAGGATTGGCAGGGGAAACCGAAGTACACGGAGAAAACCTGCCCCAGCGCCACTCTGTCCACCACAAATCCCACTTGACCAAACCCGGGATTGAACCTGGGCCACTGCAGTGGGAAGCCAGTGACTAACCACTTGAGCTATGGCACGGCCCAAATACAAAGTTAATGTTATTTTTGGCCGCGCCATAGCTCAGGCCGTTAGTCACTTGTTTCTCACTGCAGTGGCCTGGGTTTGAGCCCAGTTCTGGGCATGTGGGATTTGTGGTGGACAAAGTGGCTCTGGGGCAGGTTTTCTCCAAGTACTTCAGTTTCCCCTGCCAAACTTCATTTCACCAACTGCTCCACAATCACCATCATCTATCATCTGGGGCCGGTACAACTGGCCAGCAGTGGCTGCAGTACCAAGTGGACTCAGTCTCACCCCCACTAACAAGAACGAAAGAAAATAAAAAATAATAATGTTATTTTTGGCATAATGCCTACAAAAATATCAAGTGGGTTCAGATGACGAGAACATGGAGGTCAGACAATGGGAACCCACAGTTGATTCACAGGTACAGAAAATGGCTGTTCAACAAAAACTATGCATCTGATATGAAAAGTGGCAAGGGCTGCCACTGTGCTGAAACCACATGCCCTCCCAAACATTAAGGAAATTAGCTTACAGGATTTCGTCAAGAAAATTCTCTATCATGCATAGTCCAATTATGCAACTGTCTACAATTCTGGCCTAAACACTGATACTACATCTTTGGCAAAATGAAGAGTGTTCAGGAGCATGATTCTCCAGCATTCATTTAGGTTGTGGAGATTGTTTACTTCACTCCTCATGAGTGTTGCCTTATCAGTCCAATACATGACCCAAAGAAAGTCTGATCCATCTAGGGGTCTCTGCAAAACCCATTAACACAACTGGAAAGGGAGATTACTGTCCCCTGGCTGTAGCCCTTGCTGCTGTACATGAAAAGAATACAAATGCTCCTCATGCAGTGTACATAAACCTGCATTCTGAAAGAGGCTTATTTCATAAGTGACCCAACAAGTTCTAGTCAAGGGATCAGTGTGCATAACATTTAACACTTCTTCTTCATTCCATACATTGCTTTAGGTCGCAGAAAACGTGCGCTGGTGGGATGAATGCACCTACTTTCCTCAGACCGCAATGTACCAGTGCAAATAATCTGTTTGGTTGAGTCCAATATGAATACTAACATTGATATTCCCTTGATGAAGTTACAAGATGATGTACACAAAATGCACACTCTCATACTAAACACTAGTAAACCGTGTCATCATGTTTCACTGTTATCATTGTTCTGCAGTCAGAAGTAATATGACCCACAAGCAAATGCAGTAAGAGCCCTGTTTACAACATTACAAAGACCTGACCACACAATCATACCCAAAAAAATTAAATAAAGACTAAAAGTTTTAAATACAATCTGAAATGGTAATGAATCGGACAACTGTTTGCTTACATTTTCTGTTCAAAATTATCTCCTCAACAACCTCCTAAAGTCTGGCCACAAGACTTGGAATCACCCCACATATTCATAAGATAATATAACAATGGTCAAGAAGAATATGTATTCAGAACACTGTCATAATAAGTAAGCAATTTAATCATTCCAGCAGAGATTAAAATACTTTCAATAACTATCGTTCGTCAATGAAAATATAATATAAATCAGTAATTTCATCTGGATCAACTGGAATATATATTCATCTCATTTGTTAAGACTCTTTGTCAAGGGAATAAATATTCATAAACTTCCTTATTACAATAAACAAGCAATTTTTTTATCTCAGTGCATTTTTTTAAATCTAAGTAATGAACAGGCACTTTCGTTGGATTACAATAAAACCTTTACTTAGAAGCTTTAACTTGATTTTTGACGCATTGATGTGTGTCAACTTCTTTCTTGCCCTGTAATTGGATCTACTTGAATATAAGAATAAATTAAATTAAATAAATACTAATGTACTGCATTATATTTTGAAGGGCTCCAAGATTTTCTTTGTTACATCAATGTCTCTGTTACAGATCAGGTGTGCCAACACAGCATTGGACATGTCAAGTGTCTGCCTTCATTTTCTTTCATTAATTCCTCTCAGCTCTACCAAACCTTAACTGCTCTGCAGAATAATGTTCTGCCATACAAGACATACATATATGTTAGATGTTAAACTTTAACAGTTCTGTGTGCAGCTTTTCTTTAAATTTAAAGAGCACGCAGGATTAAATGAGTTTTTAGACTCTGTCAACCATCTGATATTTTAAACAAAACAGTGTCTTGGAAACCGGATGTTTCCATCATCAAGTGAAAGGATGGGAGGCACCCACTCTGTTAGCTCCAATAAAGAGTGTTAACCTTAATCACTGTATCAACAAATGAGGTTAGCTCTTTCTAATGGACCCAAAAGAGTAAGGACCTACCACCCTTTCACCTAATGATGGAAACAGATCCAGTTTCTGAAACATTGTGTTCATTAGAATACTGGATGATGGACACAGTCCAGAAACTCAGCAATTGTAATAGTAATATCAGAACCATTTTGAATTGGCTTGAAGAATGTTATTCATAGCATACCATAAACTTGCTGAAGGGCACATCATAGATTTAGGACAAAGTACATCATCAAGTGCTGTTTATGAACTAAGCAAAGTTGGCATTAATATCTGTGCGAATAACTGTACCAGTAATAACATTCAACCAGAAATGTATTAACAGATGGACAAGAGAGATCAGGAACAAAAATAATCTATAAACCACTAAAACGTGTCACATATTTCAGAATGATATTGTACCTTTGCAATGTCTCTCATCCAAGTTTTGTATCATATGATAAATATTTCACTTGCACTTATAACTAGCAAAACATTGTAATTATGACATTAATTGTTTAAATACATTAAAAATATATACCTTCTTAGTTAAATTCAAGTGATGCTGTCCTTTCTCAGGCCTACATTTCCAACATGGTCTATATCTCATGGTCACATACATAGAGTGATCTCAGATCTATTCTAAGTTTGGTATGCCTGCTGTGGAGAGACTTCTTGCACAGTGGTTTAACTGTAAATCACCTTGATGATGAATAGCTATATGAATACAGTGTACCAAATGAATAGCTATACTCACATATGGGTGCAACATAATTGCTGGGGAACAGACCAGACACACCCTTCAGTTCACCTCGCCACCAAGAAGCCTCCTCACGTGCCAACAGTGTGATCACATCATCTTTCTCAAAGCTAAGTTCATCTTCATTCAAAGCTGAGTATGGGTAGAGAGCTACGACTTTTTCTATATAAATAACAAAAAATATCACATGAGCACACTTAACATTTCAACTAGAGTCACAGATTTGTGGATAGCATTCTTGTGTCATGCTTGTAAGGTCCGAGGTTTATATCTTGGGCTGCAGGCCAGGTGAGGTATGTTATGGCTTTCCCCAGTACCTCTAGGCAAATGCCAGAATAATATCTAAAATTAGGTCACTACCACTTGCTTCCACATCCTTTCCAATTCATTATTAGTCAATCATTCCAGTGTTAAACATTATATAGTCTGACCTCTTGGCAGCAGTGTTAAGCACACCACAAATACATAAACAATAAATACATATTAGCAACACTTCACATGTTTATGGCAGGAGGGCAGTTATCCCTTTCTGTGGCCACTACAGACCAGGAAAAGAAACTGCTTCTTACACTGTACCAATTCTGAGAGCCTGTATTTCACACATCGTTTTTGGTACAGGCCAGTGGCTGATGCTTTATAAAAATCTGATGTGTTAGGCATCACGGCATACAAAAACTTATGGTGAAACACAGAATTAATAGAAATTTAAAAGATGAAAATTCTGTTCATCTTTTCAAGAATTATGATGGTTAGGCCAGCACATTTCTCTACATAAAGAAGGACTGTTCTGTACAGTGCCACTCTCCGAATCAATATTAAAAAAGTTACAAGATGAACTCTGAGCACTTAAAATCTGTCTAATAAATTGTGTACTATGTTCATTTGAAAAACACATGTAATAGAATGAACTGGTGCCAGGTACCAAACTACCCTGGTGTGAAGATGTTAAGAATTTAATATTCCTCCAGTTCCATTCTTTCTATTGACAGCCACCAGATAGGGGGAAAAACACCACACATATGTTTGTAATATATTTACAATTATAAATACATACATACACTGGAGGAAAATAACTGCAGATAAAGTGCAGTAGCAGACTACCAAGTCAAAGTCAAAGCCACATTGCGACTGACAGTTAGTCAGTAAGTCTTGGTGTCATATTTATTAGTTTTTGACAGTTACAGTCTTGTTTTTGTGGGGAGCCCTCTCTGACAAGAGGACAGGTTTGTCTTCTGTATATGCTGCTGGCCCTTGCCAGCGCAGTCTTTCTTGGGTCTGAGTCCCTTGGGACTTGTGACCATATTTTACTTTCTCAGATTTGAGACTTCCCCTTTTGTCGCCTCCTACAACTTGCAGGGTGCTCACCTAGCAGACCACCTGAGGCAAGTGGTCACCTAGCAGACTACCTGAGGAAAAACTACTGTAAATGAAGGTTCAACAGAAGCCCACCCATGGAAAACTACCAGAGAAAAACAGAGGTTCACTGGGAAATGCACCTAAGAGAAATTACTGCAGATCCTGGATCAATACAAAGTCACCCAAGGAAAATTACTGAACATCAAGATCCATCAGAAACCTACCTAAAGGAAATTTTCATATATTTAGGTCTCCAAAGAAGCACCCACAGGAGGCACAATACAGGTAAATGGCAAAGTACAGCATATTATGTGTGACTGCTTTTACCTGAAGACTATCAAATTCTAAGCATCCATCATCTGGTTTCTTAATTGGATGCTTGTCTCTAAGATTTTATGCCAAACAATTCTCTAACTAATACATTCTGGTACAATTCTATTTAACTTGAATATTACTCACCAATAATTGCCTCTGTGGATGCAGGTTTTTGTTGTTCTTGTTCTTGTTTTTGTTGCTGCTGCTGCTGTGCAGCTTGTTCTTGATGTTTGTGCGAGACTGGTGTGCTGCGGTTACTGCCTCCTGCTCCCAACAGTTTTACGTAAGAGGCAGGGAACCAACCCACTTGGCGTTTCTTGCCTTTTGCCTGTAATTCACCCTCCCACCACCCTGTGCTTGTTTTCTTACGAATCATGATAAGCTGACCACGTTCCAAGTCCAGCTGTTCAGCACTAGTGGCCTGATAAGGTGCAATCGCAGTTGCTATCTCTGGCTTCTTGCCTTTGCCCTGGAAACAATGTTCAAGGAATGAGACGTGACTGGGACATAAGTAGCGTGAAAAGACTAACAAAATGGAGGATTAACATCTAAGGGTAATTATAGTCAACTACGGTTAAATTTGATAAAAATGAATGTAATATGGCAAGAACCTAGCATCAAACTAAGGAGGAAGAAACATATTTTCAGAACAGATAAACATGAGCATTTACATAACCTAGTTTATTTTGGCATATGTATCTCCCTTTTAGATCTTCCACGCATAATTACACAGGTCAAAACAATATACATTTTGTGCTGCAATATCTCGGCATTTATGTATGACAATGCATGAATATGTACGTTTCAGTCTATATTAGTGAATTTTTATTTTCAGTATTTTCATTTCTACCACAAAAAAATGATCACTAACTGAAAATGATAAAATAAATTTCATCTCCTTTTATATCTTCTATATATTTCAGTTCTTTAGCAAACTATTCCATAAAATACTCCTATTCATGACTTGGGTTTGAAAGCGGAATACTACCATATATATGTAACTCTTGATGCTGGTGCATTTCTTTTAAATAGGCATATCAATAACTGTTCTGATAAGAAAGGTGTTAAGGCTCAATTTACCCATTTACATGCCTAATTGATCATATCAGATGAGGACAACAGAGTTCTTCTACCTTCCCTGTACCTTCAGGCAACCCTTCAAGCAAGGCAGCATTTTCACCTCAAAATACCATAATACTTTGAACATAAAACACCATCGAATTTAAGACACATCAAGTTTTTACATGTGGGTTTTAGGAAAAAAATAGGAAGGTGCACATTCCTCGAACTTATGATGTACCTCAATTTTGAAAATGAAAAAATATGTGAAATGCGAGTCTTTATCGAAAGTAATAGAGTATGTAATGAAGTCAATATTTTCTTGGATTGGCCACATCATGGCACTGTTATGCACTACAGCAGATACATGGAGCCAAGAGATGGTGCTGTGTCCATTCTTCTCTCACCCAGCAAGACGCAGTTGCATACGTGCAGTGTGTTCAGAAAGAAAGTCACCGTTGTGAAGGGCAGTTGTCTGTCAGCAGCAGAAATCGAGAATGTCACAGTTTGAGCAATGGGCAAACATCAAGTTCTGACAAAAATTAAGCAAATCTGATAACAAAATGTTTCAGATGATCAAGCGAGCGTATGGCGAAGAAGCCTTGGGCTGTAGTGCTGCGTTTAAGCGGCACAAAAGTTTTGCAAGAGACAGTTTGGAAGATGATGAGCATACCAGTTGGCCAAGAACAGTCAGAACTGAATTCAAGATCCAAGAAGCTGCAACATTGGTGCATGCCAACTGCTCCCAAATGGTAGATGAAATCACAGCAGCATCACCATAGATTAGCCATGGTACTTTGCACAAAACTGTGCCTGATGACCTGAACATGTCTCATGTTACAAAGCATAGTGTTCCACGAGTCCTAATGCAAGACCAACGTGACAATCACATGAGCATTTGCGGTGGCATGATCGACAGTGCTATACCAACATTGGCAGACTTGTGTAGCAGCCAATATTGATGATTTTGAGGGAGGATGTGGATATGTGTAAGTGTATGTGAGTATCTTGTAACATGGTGCGACAAAACCACAGTCTATGAAATTATTGACTGTAGTGGTATACTGTGTAACGTGAAGAAAACAGAAAAATAAGCAACTGCAAAATTTAAAATAGAGAACAATTGTAAATAACTGTATACTTTGTAATGTGAAGAAAACAGAAAAATAAGCAACAGCAGAATTTAAAACACAGAAACAATCATGAATATTGGTACAAACTGATGTATAAGTACACAAAATGAAAGAAAGACTTTTACAATATCAATGAGAAAATCCTTCTAATATTTCAAAGTCAGAAAGGATCAATAAAGAAAGCTCCCTCAGTGCTGTATGCAGAACTCCAGACTGGAGGGTTAACTTTAATATTATCTACAATAGCCTATTCTGTTCCACAGACGTCAGTCTGCACACAAACGAAAATATTGAAGACTGACAACACTAAAACTGGATTTTAGGACAGATAAGATATAGGAAATTCACTCCAGTGATCCAAAACTTGAATACTGTATACTGCATGATGTATGAATATACATTTGAAAATTCTGAAAAATTATATTGTCACATGTATGACTATAGACAAGGTTCAGATAGAGATGAAGGTACCAGCATGCTCCGAAATGGTAACCATGTATACAACTACAGGTTTCTACTCTTTTGTAACACTAAAACAGAACAAGCACTGAGAAATGTAACACCGATAAAATGCCTTCTGGCATAAAATGTTTACTTGCATTGTATAGGTAACACAAAATGATAAACATAATACAGCAACGAACCTTAATGCAGGAAAGTAAATGTACTCTGATGCCAGTAACAAAAGCAGAAAAGCAAGCACTTCTCAATGGATACACATAGCTTGATGGGTAAAGTGGTGGTAGGAAAGAGCATTTGCTTTTATCTCATCAAAAGTCCTGCTAATGCAAACAAATTTGTAATAAAAAGGTAAAAAGATAAAAAGTTAAAGCTATCCCTGTAACAGGCCAAGGAAGGCCATAGGGTTGTGAGATGTCAAGGCTCCCACAATACTAGACAATCAGCTTAACCAATCTACAGTTATTCATGAAGCACGTTCTCATTACACAATATATCACAATGTCAAAACTACAATGACATACGGCCAGATTCTAATATCACTCTTACTACTATTATTAAAGAGATAAAAAGAAAGGTAAAGCTATCCTTGCAACAGGCTGTGAAGGCCCATAGGGTTGTGAGATGTCGAGGCTCCCACATTCTCTAGACAATCGGCTCACAGATGGTGGTGAGGTTGTTAGCCTTACACACCAGCCACCCCTTACCTCTCAGGAATATTCCTGGGACTCATTTTGTTAGAGACCGAGTCGACCCCAGGGTCATAGTGCACTGGCACCTTCCACATTCTTTCCACCTCATTAATCATCCTACCAGTCACTACCATATCGTCTGAACTATGGCAATGTCTTTACATAAATATCCCGTGTGTACGGCAATTACGGCAAATTTCTTTTGGTCTGAGCTCTATTTGTCACAAGTCCAAAATTTGTCTAGTTCATACATATGTAAATTACAGTAAATTGCTTTTGGCCTCAGCTCACACTCACAAGTCCAAAACCTACCTAGTTCATGGATATGTATGCTTCCACCCCTGCTATTCATCTAGTCACTGGCATATTTTGTTGATTTATTAGAAACTTTTGGTGCTAGTATGTAAGTTTTCTAGTTATTCTTAAAAGAGGGTAGAAATATACTCTGCATTTTATTTGGCTTCTAATTCAACAGACTTGACTTACTTCAGGTACTTAATGAAATTACATTAGGAGCCTCAAATGTTGAAATATTTTCAGTACAGATTTCAGAATAGGAATAAAACGAATAGTATTAACTCATTTCTTCACATTACAACAACACACTCAGTAGGCAATAGAACAGCACTTTCAGTTTAAAATGCTTAAGATGAAATATGGGGGGGGGG